ACCCCCCACCCGCTTTTTTTGGTTGGCTCCGGTGAGGCTGTGGACATGTTATCTAGCGGGTGTGATCTGGCGTCTTGGTTGGGCTATGGACATGTAGGCGAAAAAAAGTTCAGATGTTGAAAAAAGAGGTTCAGGAACGTTTTGCGGGCATTGGCTCCGTTTGCGTAGGCAAAAAAATGTTCAGAGGTTGAAAAAAGAGGTTGAGGGGTTGAATAAATAGGTTGAGGTGTTGAAAAAATAGGTTAGGGGGTTGAAAAAATAGGTTAGGGGGTTGAAAAAATAGGTTAGGGGGTTGAAAAAAGAGGGCGGGGGGTTGAAAAAATAGGTGGAGGTTGGAAAAATAGGGTCGGGGGGTTGGAAAAATAGGTGACCCCTCGAACTCACCGAGCGCCTTCGCAAGCGATGTGTAGCCCTGCAGTCAAAGGACTTGAGGGCATGGTTCACTTGAGCACTCATGCACAGAAAAGGCGTGCAAAAAAAAAAGGTGATCACAGGTGCTTTGAGGCCCTTCCCATCGCTTCCCATCATGCGACGCGTTTTTGCGCAAGGTCGACAGATCTTGGTCTTCCACATCGAGCTACAAGGGTTGCTTGGCGAATCCGGCGCGACAGCTCCCCTCCCCCAGCATGGCTGAATGGACAGCTCTTTCAGTCGGAGTCAGGTCCATTGGTCCATTCAGCAAATGGATGAGTTAGGTCATGTTATCCTATGAATTCGTCACAGTATTAGTCACTGCTGTTTGTCCTGAACTGTCCAAGCCCAACTGAACCACGGGGATTGGCTGTTTGGTGAGGCTGGAGCGTGCCAGTATGGCCAAGAGACGGGGTCACAAGAGCTACCAGGACCGGCTTCGTGGGGCCGTTGGTGCAGAGACCTTTCAGTTCTTTGGAACTGCGGATGCATCGGTTGAACAAACCACATATCCGTTGTACCGTGAATGTCTGACCAAAGAGGTCTGCAAGTTCTCTATTTTTTTTCAGGACAATGCCTTTACAAAGGTGGGGCGCAAAGTCATTACAGCTGGACGCCCCAGCTGTTAGCTTTGAGCAGATGGGTCCAGATGGGTCCAGATGGGTCCAGATGGGTCCAGATGG